TGGACTTGCCCTTCAAGCCTGGAATTATCCATGTTGCACGTCTATGAACATTCTCTATTAAATTTTTATCCTTTTCAAATCTCGGTGACCACACAACGTTTCCAAACTCTAGATTCGGGCGCACGACAGCAACAAACAACTTCTTCATCGCTTTTGCATCTAGGAATTCGTATGAGCGTCTGATTAGTCCAAGAAGTTTGTTGGATGTGTTAGCTTGCGTTTCAGCATGCTTAGAAAATTTCAGCTCCTTGTCGACATAAAGTCCGAGATCTTTTTCCACACTAGACTTTTCAATAATTTCTCTCTCGTTGCAACCAAGTCTTCTCATACTGTAATCTTGCTGTTCATTGTTCTTCCCGAGGTGAAGTACTTTAAACTTGTCAGCATCAAACCGCAGCTGCCACGTATCAGCCCAGTTTACTAAACTGTCAAAATGATCCTGCAATTGCGCTTTATTTGACGCATCCTTCACTGTATTATAAACTTTTGTGTCGTCGGCATACATGGAGCACACGCTGGACACTGCTTCTGGCAGATCGTTTATAAAAGCAACGAGCAAAATAGGCCCATGAACGCTTCCTTATGGCACGCCACTGCGCACTGATGCCCAGTCTGACACGGTTCCGTTAATACTGACACTGTGTCGTCTACCTACTAGAAAATTTCTGATCCATTGGAGTACGTTTCCCTCAATTCCCAAAGACTTCAATTTAAGCAACAGCTGCTCGTGCGGAACACTGTCAAATGCTTGGCAAAATCGAGGTACAATGCATCCACTGGCTCCCTTTCGTCCAGCAGGCGAGTCCAATCGTTCAACGTAGATCATAAGTTAGTGGTGCAGGATCTGCCGGCAATAAAACCATGTTGACAATCTGATAGGAGATGATGAACAGTCAAGTGATCGATAATCCTATCCATCACAACAGATTCCATTAGCTTATAAACAACACTTGTCAGACTGACAGGGCGATAGTTGCCGGGGCTGCTTTTGTCACCTTTTTTGAACAATGGTGTTACTTGAGCTTCTTTCCAGTCTGCTTCTTTCTTTCACGAATCTCACCATTCTCATGAATCTCACTATTCTCATGAATCTCATCATTCTCATGAATTTCATAATTTTCATGAATTTCAGTATTTTCGTGAGTTTTAACGTTTTCATTAACTTAACAAATTGTATCCTAATAAAAACCAAAGCACGAGCGACATAGAAACTATTCGAGACGAGAGAATCGACACACACACAAGCACCGTGAAGCACGTGTGTGCTCATTGTCTCATTGCTTATTCACTCATGCAGCTACCCATTCACCATACCTTGGACTATACGCATAAACTAGGTACCTCGCACTCCACAGTCCCACAGGTTTTCCAGTATTTATCTTGATTTATCTTTAAGCACCAGCCTTCTCGAACATAGGTACTGAAGAAGTGTGCATCGGTAAGCCGCGTCGCTCCCATACGTAGTCGGAATATTGGCACTTGGTGGGATCGTTCGATGAACAGGTACTCGTAACGTGGCCAAGGTAGCGTCTGACTGCAGTCTCAGTTGTGGGGGTTAAGTTTTTATGTATGTAGGATTTTTTTTACATTTCCCTTCTCTGTCTCTCTCGTGCGGGCGGCCGACGTCCCGTGTAAGCAACCTCTTGTTCGAGTGTCTTCGTTTCTGTTGCTTTTCACCTGTCCCTCCTTGTCACTTTGTCTCTTTGAGATGCTAACGCTGCTTCTTTCGCGCAAGCTTCAGCGGGCTGGACATCTGAGACCTTCACCCCGTGTGAGTGATGATTAATTTGAGATTTTGGATAGTTCAGGTCTTCCGCCTGGCTAGCGATGTTATCTTTCGATCTCAGGTGCGAAATAGCTTGATAGCTGAAGCGCTAGCAAACCATTCTACTACTATTACTTATCAAGAAGGAAGTGTGCAAGAAAATGAGAAGACAATGTACTTGAACGTACATATGTACCCTATTTCTTTATAAGGAAATGCTATGATGTCTCGATAAATAGTAAACAATTATTCAAAAAACAAGTTAGGCAATAGTAGGTGATGCATGCATAAAAAATAATAATCGCTGAAACAAAAGATCCAATCGATCTTTTTATGAATTTTTTCCAACAAATGCTATTCGTTCGACATCTCACTTTCGAATTTTGGCTATTTTCGATACATTGTACTTCTTGGACGATACAAATGCTACACCTGAACAAAAATACCTGTTTGCATTGTACAAAAAATATTTATGCCCAAAGCGTAAAAAAAAGGATTTATAACGCAACGGCATAAAAATGGACATCTCTGAAAATAACTTAACACGTGCAGCAATTCCGAGCAATGCTTTGTTGCAAGCAACTTTTTTTACTCACCAGCAGGAATACGATAGTCGCAAGCCTCGCTTAACCTTTTCATCCGTATAAGTAGAAACGGTAAGGAATATTTAAAACAATTTATATTTGAGAATTCCATAGGCTACTGTTCACCAGATCAATGAAACTGTAGAGGCAAAACTAACAAATTCCGTCCTTGCCTTTCATTAAATGGTTGAATTTCACGCTTCAAAGCTGGCTTTCTTGATCCAATTGTGCAGTGTAACCGAAATAGGAACGATTTCCACTGAATGCCGACATCGTTCAACTATTTGTATGATTTATCTAAATTGTTGTGACGAAAATATTCAAGCGTAATAAGCATAATATTTCTGTCAATATAAGCTAACAGCAGTCGAAATGTTCAAATTTGACTCAAATTCTTCAATAAGTGCAGTTTACAGATGGTTATTGAAGTGAATTACACTATTTAACCTACGAAAATAACATTTTTGCTAGCAAACAGAAAGAAAAATACTTCAAGGAACTAATTGAAACAATACAAGTGATTCCAGGATTTATTCATTAAAAAAATCGTGATCGGATCACTCGCTCTATAATTTATTGTGTTGGACTGCTAATAAAATTCGTCAACAAGCGCCACTGCCAGCAGCTGTTCCTCATAAAAGCGTTCAGTGTTTTTGTTTGATCAAGTCTTCAATTTTACTTAGTTCAAGAATAGGGAAGTTTGCCTTTCGTACTAGGCAACAAACTTACGCTCAAACTTTTTTCGATCGAGTATAATTTTGTTGAGTTTCGTGCAGCTGGTGAATGTGATGATGAAGGGGGGTGCGTTTGGGAGAATATGGTGAGCATGGAAAGGTATTTAATCGAGAACTTCAGTTATAGAGTTGTCTCTCGGGAGAGAGGCAGTACATTGTACACGTTACGTTTAGTGGACAATAATTACATGCTGGACGATTTGCTACCTCACTTGGAGGTGTAAAGTTCGTAATGCAAAAGGCAAAGTATGACAATGAGACATGAAATTCTTCTGTTATGCATAGCCGATTGTGGGAGGGTGCTAGTAGGCGGTGCACCCTTAGTCTGCACCCATAGTCGTTAGCAACAACTTTTTACTAAACGACTATGCAAAATTTAAAAACAAAAGTAAAATATTTCGTTGCATTGAAATTATCTTAACAAAGGAAAAGCACGACTCTGATATCAGGCATTCTAAGATCTCTGGCGACATTATTGACATGTAGCCCACGTCGCCGCAGTACAGGTTATAATGGAGACGCAGCTCAGTATTGACCCAGCAGGTACGAGGCTAACTCGAGGGCCACACTAACTGAGCCTTATGTATTATCAGGTAAGATTATTCCCATTAATATCCAATATTAATCAAGGATCACAATTTTTGTTCAATATATCAAAAACCAAGTAAAATGTTTTACATTCATCTTCAGGAAGCTTCGTGGATTACCTTCTTTTTTAAATGTATTCATCTTAATTTGCTTATTTATCTAAGTTTGTTCAACAAAATACTCGAAATGAGAATACTGAAGGCAAAATTGTTCGCGAGACGTACCGTGAAAACACTTGATAACTTGAGTGTCGGCTCACCGACACGTCGTGCAACTTTAAATATTTTATAAATGCAGTGAAAAGGTCTCACATCAACATTTTAAAACCAGTTGTTATTATTACAGTACTGACTACATATTATTATAAAAAGCTGAATGAAGTATTATGAAGAGTAACATTAAATTATGTTCGAATATAGGCGTAACATTTCTGATAAGTAGTAGCAGTGCTTCAGCTATTTCGCACCGGAGGTCGAAAGATAACATCGCTAGCCATGCGGAAGACCTGAACTATTCAACATCTCAAATTAATCATCACTCACAGGGGGCGGAAGGTCTTAATTGCCTTGCCCGCTGAAGCTGGCGCGAATGAAGCAGCGTTAGCATCTCAAAGAGACGAAGTGACAAGGAGGGCCAAGTGACAAGGAGGGACAGATGAAAAGCAACAGAAACTAAGACACTCGAACAAGAGGTCGCTTACACGGGACGTCGGCCGCCCGCACGAGAGAGACAGAGAAGGGAAATGGAAGGAATCCTACCTACATAATAACTTAATGTAAGGAACCCTACCTACATAATAACTTAACACCACAACTGAGACCTGCAGTCAGACACCGCGAGCTCAGTGGTGGGGCGCACAGGAACCATATTATCCCCTTTGGAGGGCCAAACGCCATAAGACTTCAGACGAGCACAGACACGCGTCCGAAGTCCCCCTGAGGGGTACTTTCTGATAATCTATTTAGATCTTTTGCTTGCACTTTCAACAAATTAACCAATAACATAAAAGGCTGTGAACCAAGAAAATGTATTAATCTTTCACAAGAATGTTTCGGAGACAAGCTCCATCGTCAGTACACGTATAACTAAACGGGATGGTCTCTTTGAAATCATCATGGTATCACTACGGACGATCAATCGATCAGTATCGCTTTAGTAAACCGTTAGATTATCCTAGTACTATATTCCTGATAACGGACCTGGTAAGCAAAATATTCGATGAAAAAGTGTTTCATTTTATTCTATTTCTCCTGTTTTTGAAGTTTTGCATGCATGGGGCATACATGGCGCTAACGTCAACACTTCCAAAACTATTTTGTCTACTGCGACCTACAGCGATCTGCAAAAAGCAGTCCAAGACGCTTAAAAATTCGGTTATGTTCTTTAATTTTATTATTATGCTCTCCTGTATCAATTCTCTGAACTTATTCATCTTATACTTATACACGTAACACTTCACCCTTAAGAAAATTTCTAAAACAAACGATGGCCAAGTTCGGCATTCTATTAATAGCTGTAATTATATTGATTAGCGATGGCACATGCATGAATGCGATTATATATACTTTGATTATTTGCGAGTCACTAGAAAAATAATGCAGCGCAATGGTGTCAATAGTATCGATGCTTCATCATTGCAAGTTCACTGATGTTGAGAAGTTAACCAGACATTATTTCGGCCACAAACATACCATCTGTCATCACCAGGAACATGGAGCACTACAGCTAAACTTAAGTTATATGTTGAGCATTGCATCAATAAATTCCGTAATCTCAGGTTGTCGTTGCAGAACAAAAAGTCTGGAAGAATCAGATAGCATTAAATCTATGTCTACGGAGTCCATAAGTTTATAATATATACGAACTTAATAACATTATTCGTAGGTACTGAATAACGACGAAAATGCCTCGGTAAACAAACATGTATGAAATATAACATTAAAATGTAGAGTCAATGCCATGCAAGGCGTGCCAACGGAGGCACAAGTGAGGCGTGGTGGGCGGAAGAGTTCTCAGAGACTAAAGGCGACTTCATTTGCATCATTTTTTAACAACAAACAAAAATGTGCAGTGCACGATTAAAACTATTTCATGCGTTATAAAGTAACTTAACCTAGTAATATCATTTGTTAATAACTCATCAACAATATTTAGCTAGTAATCGACTTGTGCGTATCATTTATAATGATTTAAACTACTACTTCTAGCGAATATTGATAAAACTGCAAGGAAAACACAAAGACAGTACAAACAAAAACTTGAAAGATCTTAATTATTAGCGATGAAATCGCGAGCCAATATTAGAATATCATGGATAAAGCAAACGATTAAAATATTAGGTAGAACAAAAACATTAACTACATATACTACGGTACAACTCAACTATATATACTACAAGTTCGTGCAACAATACAAAAATCAAACAAGTATTCCTAAACCTACCAAAATAGAGTAAGCAACTTGTGGCAAGTCTCATGAAAGAAAGCAAAGAGATTCATTGCAATTCACTTCATAGCTGCGATACTGTTTATTAAGAACTTCTTTCATGTGAAAATAAGTAGGTAAATAACTGAAGTGAATACACGTTTGGCATGTCAGAAAATAGTGGTAACGAGTAACTCTTTGGAAGGTACAGGAAGAAGGTAACGTATAACAGTTCAGAAGATCCTAAACTAGGATAACGATCCTAGTTGTTCAGAAGCTTCATCCGTGAGGCAGTGCAGGATTACAGATCTCTCTTAGGGTCCAGTCAAAGGTAACGACGGGGACCCGATCTTAGAAAATAACATTGCAGTGTCTTGTGAACCTTTCTTTGTACGTCAGGCACTGGAGCGTCACTAGTCAGGCACTGGAGCATCACTAGTCAGGCACTGGAGCATCACTAGTCAGGCACTGGAGCATCACTAGTCATCATAAGCAGCAACGTGCACCAGCTATCGCCCTTAACGCGACATTGCGCATTGCACAGTATTGAGACTGTCTCTTATACACATCTAGATGTGTATAAGAGACAGNGTACGTCAGGTAGTAGGGTGCGGGTGCCTTGTGGTTGAGCCGCTCCCGCCCCTCCTCACAGAAATAACATGTCGCCGCTCTGGGGGGAACTGTACAATAGGAAAAAAAATTGAAATTGTTGACGTATAACTGAGTAGATGGCTCTGAGTATCACCTATCACAAACAGATGTAGAAAAACATTAAATTCAATTCAACTCTAAGCAGAAATTCAACAACAATATTGCTCAAAATAACACGCTGAGATAAATATGGCGAAGCGGTTATATCATATCAAATATATAATGCTAGTTATCTACCGTAAACTGTGACATACAGTATACAATAGAGGTTATTCGTTAATCAATAACATAAAAAAAATATATATAAAAAATCTAGAACAATAAGGCAAAAAACTATCACTAAATAATGCGATTCTAGTTATCTTTCTGAAACTGGAACTTGCACTTGTTGTGGTAAGGCATTCAGCAATAACTGTCAGCACATCGAAAAATCTAGAAGATGGTAAAAAATGTCTGTAAATAATTTTAGCCATCTTTGCAGAAACTGGAACTTACACTTGTTGGGGTAGGGGTTTGGAGGCCCTTGGTACACAGGGGCAGGGTAGGCTGAAGACGCCGCAGCTGGAGGAGGAACAAGGGCGGAGAATCCCACAGGAAGGAAGCCTGGGGGAGGAGCAGGGCAGAACTCAGAAGGATTTTCCTGAGGAGGAATATTCGAAGCAGGTGGGAGACTGGAAGCCCCTTGTAGGAATGGATCCTTCTCGGGATACGCGGAAGGATTGTTAGGATCTGCTACAAGAGTTGGAGCCATTGGATCAGATGGATCACATGGAGATGGATAAACCACAGCCACGCCAGGAGCAGGATATCCTGGAGGAGCGGAATTTTCAGGAGGCGCAGGATATCCAGGAGCAGGAAATCCTGAAGGAGTGGAATTTTCAGGAGGCGCAGGACATCCGGGAGCTGGATATCTTGGAGTGTTTGGGATGGCAGGAAATCCCATAGGTGCAGGATATTGGGCAGTGGGGTTGGGAGAGAGTCCAGCAGACGAAGGGTTGAATGAAGGGGTAGTCGTAGCCCCCTCAACCATGAAGGGCACGGTGCCCACATAAAAGTCAGCTTCACCAGATACGTCGCTGCAGATGTTGAACCGTGCCACCACCTGAAATATTATTTATGGGTGATATTGAGAAAGAATGATAATATAGTATTATTTAGGTTGGTTACAGGTATACACCATCAACTTAAAGACTAATTTAAAGTCCTCAAATTACGCCTTAATCCCCATGTGTTCCAAGCCTGCAAGATGACCTTAGCTCCAAATATCACCTCCAATTTGGGCCAAAATTGTAGCTCTAGAGCTGACATGATGATGATGATCACCATGACGTCACTCGACTGAGTGCCGCCATGGTGATCAATGGTATTCTAGTCGATGTTTCTTCATTCATAATCATATCTTAGGTAAGTATCAGCTCTTCTATATATATTCCTCTGGCATCTGTGATGCTGGAGCGCCAGAGAGGAGCATGTGCGTTCACATCTCCTGCTAGGATGGTATCAGCTGTTCTTGGATGCATTGATTTGTTCTTATTTTATCCTGATCAGCATTGATATCTCTTGGTGGTATGTACATATTCGACCGTCTCAATGTGAAGTTCCTTCCATCTCTTATTTCCACTACAGATCTCTCTGCTCCGTTAATATAACTTTGGAAGTTTATGAGCTCCCTGAAATGAAGATTGCTATGTATGTAGGTTAGCAACCCTCCTCCGCCGTTTCCTTATGGTCTATCACATCTGACTGATGAGTTCTGTTCCTATATCGGTGTTTCGTGCTGTTCTTCAAGTTTGGTCTCCTGGATCATTATGACATGTGGTTTCTTTTCATGTACTACCTCACTCTGCATGGTACGTCACGTGCTGCACGTGGGAACATATTCAGGGCGACATCGTGGATAACAAAATGATCAACAGCAACTTGCGAAATTAATATGTAGACTTTTGAAAAAATTTTCGAGGAAAGTAGCTTGAAATTATTGACAATTACACTAAAAATTTTGAACTGACAATGGAGCTGGACTCCGAAACATTTTCTTTAAAGATACTATGAATTTTTGTGGAGTTTTCTTTGCTTTTCAAGTTTTTAGTGAATTTGCGCTTCAAGCAAACGAGTGACATTATTACTTAGTGACAATTTTTAGTACCAATGACAAAAACGCCAATCGTTTTGCATTTGTACATCCCCTGCAAGTATGTTAGGGCACATAGCTCTAATTCAACAAAACTCAGAATAATTCAACAGATTGAGGGTTAGGGCACACGGCTCTAGACAAAATTCAACAAAATTCAGAATAATTCAACAGATAGAGATGTTGAAATGAGACGAACCTGGTATAGGGCGACGACTGTAGAGCCCACCTCCTTGGAGCCGTTATTGGTCACCTCCCCCCTGACGCGGTACCCCTCCCCCACCACCGCCCCCGAGTGCACACACCTAACGTTTATATCAACAGGTCCTCTAACGCAGCACAGGCAGCACGACGTGTCAGACGTCTGTATCACCAAAGGGACCTGCAATAAACGTTTATATCAACAGGTCCTCTAACGCAGCACAGGCAGCACGACGTGTCAGACGTCTGTATCACCAAAGGGACCTGCAATAAACGTTTATATCAACAGGTCCTCCAACGCAGCACAGGCAGCACGACGTGTCAGACGTCTGTATCACCAAAGGGACCTGCAATAAACGTTTATATCAACAGGTCCTCTAACGCAGCACAGGCAGCACGACGTGTCAGACGTCTGTATCACCAAAGGGACCTGCAATAGGGATAGTTTTGTACATTATTGGGATATGATAGAATCAAAGCGTAGCTGTTATAGAACACAAGGTATGTATTAAAAATATGCTTTTCTAGCTGCCATAGGCATTTGGAACACGAAACATTCAGCGTCTAGATTGTTAAATGCATTGAATTTAAACCGAGAACACATTCGCCTCGGCAGTATTTAATTAGCCGAGGTTAAATCCCCAAATGAATTTTCTAGTCTTGAGCATTTTCTATGGGAAAAAGAAAATTTACCAAGGCTGATGATATGAGATAACAATGACTGCAATGCTGATCTACTTATTGTTAACTCAGTAGCCTAAAAGAATACGCCAGAGATGCAACTTTAATTTTGCCAAAGGTTGCTCCATGATTAAATACCATATCTACCTCAAAACTGTTGCATAAAAAAACTTTTTACAACAAAACTGTTGTTGCAAAAGCCAGTTGATTCTAAAGCTGTCTCTTATACACATCTAGATGTGTATAAGAGACAGACATGACACTAAGTGACGCATTTCATGTAGAATGTACAGTTGTACACGTTGCGCTCAGCTCGCATTGAAATCATGAACGTAAGCCATAATATGTGATCATGTGGTCGCAAATCTAATATTACCATAGCATTTCGTCTTTTCATTTCAAGTCGCGAACTAGACAATGGAATAAATGAAGCGTGGGGATAGTTTTATGGCAATTAAGAACAATAGTGCGGCGTGAATATGTGAAGCGCCTCAAACAAGCAATATTATTTAAGGAGCCATCCAATGAACCCAATTATATTTGTCTATTCGAACAATGTTGTCTCTTTACGAGTCACAAAGGGGGCCATTTTTAGCGCATTTTCTCATTTATGGAAAATGCACTATTGTGCTAGCCATGTCCGTCTGTCTGTCCGTCCGTCCGTCCGTCCGTGACCTCAAATTTTCGT